CATTCTTAAACGTGGATATCTAACCGACCGACAAAGGTTATATTAACTCTTCAATAACATCAATCTACAACATGACTCAGCAACAGAAATGTTGCTATGAATGCGAGAGGTCATTGGTCGACGGAACTTTGATGACGGCTTGTTTAGACAACGTTTCATGTCTATGCTTCCCCAACAGGTGCAGCCAGTGCTTGCTTTATTTCAAAACAACGCTGTAGACGAGCTGGTTGCATCTGCCGATTGGATTCTGTGGGCCGCCAGCACTCCCAACGTAGAGTTCTATTGAGTTAAAGAAAGGCCTCAAACGACACGAAATGATGCCAGAGAATTCTGTCATACTCTAGCACGTTGCCATAATATTCATCCTGACTGCAGACGCTCTCAAACTCTTCGGAGAGTTCTTTGCGAAAACGATCTGTCTCATGTGGGACAGGTAGCACTGATTGGTGCCTTTATCATAATCAGTACGGAAAATCTCGAAATTGAAGGAAACGTTCCGTGATATACTGATAGATTTTCAAATATAACTTCTAAACTCTCCACTTCTGGCTTTTGATTTGACTGGAGTAGCATATTTTGACTATAAATGTATTACTGGTTAATGCGTTATTAAACTCTTAATACTTGTAGCATGATTATGTATATCTCAACATAGATTTTGGTGATTTTAACTTTAAAAATCAAACATTTAAGTGAGCTTTCTGGATCGCACGAGAGTAGTGCATATTTGTGCCACTGGCTACCTTCACAAAAATTTTGGCGACCTAGAGAATGAAACTTCGAAGAAGATGTACTTAAGTGCTACGTTGTAGCGTTTAGATGTTCGCTCAATCCCTTGTGAAGCTACACATAACTGTACCTTTTGTGCATGAGGCTGATTCATCTTCTGGAATATGCTAGTTTTGTGGCTTATACATCTACCAAGAGAAGGCGATATTAATAACTCGGCGGGAGTTATTATCGTCTGAGGCAGATACATAATAATTAAAAACCTAAAGAAATCTGATACCTCCACTCAGTCTATTTCTGGCATAAAGGTATGACAAAATGTTTAAAATCAGCCGAAATCGCATTAAAAACGACAAAAACATAAGGGATGGGTCTCTATCGAAACCCTGGGCGAGACTCGGGAAAAGAAAAACAAGAAGACAGCATTTAACGACAGCCGAACATGGGCAGAGAAAGTCAAAGCACAAGCTGAGTACGCAGAAGCAAACAAGCAAGTGAAGATCATCAAAGCCGACAAGCAGAATCACGTGAAAGAACTAGTAACGACAGTGTAACTGGGTGCGAGAGAAGGGAATATAAGACAACTATGTGGTGCAACGAAGAAATTTGCAGGTAGATATAGTAAACTAGAGAGATCGGTCAAAATCAAAGAAGGCAGGCCGATCTCCTAGATCCCAGAACAGAAGCACCGGTGTGTAGGGTACTTTGAAAAATTCTTGAATAGACCAGCTCCATTGAGTCTATTGGATATCGATGGAGCACATATAGACCGTCCCATAGATACCACTCCGTCAATTGTCGAAGAAGTCAAGATGACCACCAGACAAATGAAGAGGAGGATAGCAGCAGGACCTGACATTATACGAACTGAAGCTCTGAAGTCAAACATAAAAGTAACTGCGAAAATGCCTCACCTATTCAGGAGGATTTGGGAGGACTAACAAGTGACTATGAACCTGAAAGAAGGACACCTCATCAAGGTACTAAAGAAAGAAAATCTCAGCAAGTGCAAGAAGTAAACAGGCTTCATACCATTGTCGGTACCAATAAATGTTTTTAACAGAGTGTTGTTGAACTGGATGAAAGACTTAATAAACGCACAGCTTCGAGACTAACAGGCTGTACTTGGTAAGCATTGTGTGCACACCGAATCACAACACTACGGAACAACGTTGAGTAATCGGTTGAATGGAACTCGTCACTGTACATCAAATTAATTGACTATGAGATGCCATTTGACAATGTGGATTGGAGGACTTCACGGAAACTTCTTCAACACTATGCTGTACCTGAAAAGACCGTTATCATCATACGGAATTCATACACTACAAAGTCGTGCATGGAGGACAGCTGACAGATACATTCTAAGTAAGGAACGGAGTCAGACAAGGCAGCTTACTCTCCTTCTTCCTTTCTTTGCGGAGGTCGAATGGGTTATGAAGACCGCGACATCGGAGAAGAAACACGGAATACAATGGACAGCTCGGAATCAGTTAGACGATTTTGACTTCGCAGATGACCTGGCCCTTGTATCCTATAAACGCGAATAAATGCGGATGAACATAATCAGTGTAGCAACAGCCTGTGATTCAGTAGGCCTCAACATACATAAAGGAAAAAGCAAGGTCCTCGAATACAACACAGAAAACATCAACCCAATCATACTTGATAGAGGAACTCTGGAAGGCATCATCGATGAACAGGGAGGATATGATGCAGACGTAAAGGCAAGGATTGGAAAAGCGAGGACAACATTCTCACAGTTGAAGAACATATGAATCTCAAACCAACTTTCAAACAATATCAACTTCAAACTCTTCAATACGAACATCGAGTCACTCCTACAATGTGGAGCTGAAACGTGAAGACCTACCACAACCATCTTCAGAAAAGTTCAAGTATTTATAAATAATTGTCCACGCAAGATACTCGATATCTGTTGGCCGGATAACACCAGCAACAACCTACTGTAGGAGAAGACAAACCAACTTCCAGCTAAAGAGGAAATTCGGAAGAGGTGTTATAAGTGGATAGGATATACATCACGGAAATCACCAAATTGAGTCATGAGGCAAGCCCCAGCTTGGAATACTGAAGGGCAACGGAAAAGTGGAAGACCAAGGAATACACTGAGTCGATAATTGGAAGCAGGCATCAAATGGTTTAGTGACAACTGTAAAGAAGCGGAAGGGCTTGCCGAGGACAGAGTTGGATGAACAATGTCAGTGGGCGGCCTATGCTCCACCACGAAAGGTGACAAGCGTTAGTAAGTAAGTATACTGGCATTTTGACGACTTGCGCAACTTTGGTAGCCTCAACAACAGAGCAGTTTTTATGACTTTATGTGTATTATTTATACCGATAAAGGTTCACGTCATTATCGTAGACATGAGTTGTGGGCTGTACACCCTATGTACGCAACCTATGCTCTCCCTGATAAACACATGGGCGGTACAAACTGTTTATCATCTTTGCGAAAATTGATTTAGCTGAAAGAATCGCAAGCACCGTGTCACCTATATTTGTAGTACACAAGCGTAGTTGATTTTTGCGCCTTATAATCACTCCCTACAAATCGATTTCCATATTATCCCAAACTTGATACTTGCAAACGACTTGTATGCACCATCAATCAGCATGTATGAACATATATAATTGGTCTACTGCACACTACAACCATGAGTCCGGTGTATGGCACTCAAGGATGTACACACGTTTAACGAATTACTGTCAGCTATCTGTTTGAAAGTCACATACTTATCAGTATTTTAACGTATTAAAAGGATCTTTCATAACAGTTCATATGTTTTAGTAGTACTGTTAAATCCAATCGCGACAAAATAATAATGAGGCCCAGTAAATCTCGTCGCAACTAAATAAACTGTATCAAACTGGAACATTGGTCGGAATTGTTCGTCTCCGCTGGTACACGTAATTATACCGCTAATTAGAGAGCAATGAATAGTCGATCGGACCAATGACGCATAAAGCCGTTACGAGCAGTCTAGAGTCTTTGCCGGTCCTGCTTCGCCCTGCCTGTTAAGTCCAGAACACCAATCTCAGCCTCTGCATTATGAATCATGTATTTCAAACATACTGGGTTGTATACGAACCAAACAGACCACATCGCACCACAAGACAGAAAAAAACATTTGTACAAGATCTAGCCAAAAGTGCCTGTGAATTTGGGGAACTGTAATTAATAGACTGGGCATAACTCAAGAACGGTGAATCGTATAATGATAATCTATAGGTCAAAATAAAACTGTTGATAAGAGGAACATGAATATGCATAATTTAGCTACTTATTAATTATACAATAAAAATATATGCATTGTACTTTTCTGATAGGCATTTGTTATCCCCAACCTAAATATTGATAGGCAAGCTGTTCGGTATTCCGTGACTTGACTCCCAGATGATTCAGCTAGGGCCTAGTGATATTTCACTTGTCTCACGGAGTTAAACTTAAAATTCATATTTTCGAAGAAACTAAATTCTAAGATGAGAAATACCAGCAGATAACAAAGAACAACTGTTGGTGTGATTTAATTGAGGGATACTGTTGTTAGTGCTCACCATAAGCAAAACCGCTGTGATAAAAGAGGAACAAGTGGTTACAGGTTGGAAGGCACACTGCACTGCAGTTAGTGAACTGAGGATTACTAAGTAAACTTGCCAGATGAACATAATATATACAATATTCCAAGATAAATTCATGGTGCGTAACAAAGGTTCTTCAGCTAGCAGTGTCAGCATACTAGAATTTAATAATATCCTCAGCACAGTTCATAAGGCGCAGACAATAGACAAGCACAGGACAATGCAAACAGACAATTAGTGGAAGTCAATGAGGAATGAAAGGGAGGACTTAGAAAAAAAGCACAATGGTTAGCTCATTGTTCTCAGTGGCGAATCCTCTAAATCTATACCTCCTTATTTATCAGTCGCTAGTAGCCTCATAATAATTTTCCAAAACCCTTCGCACTCACCAATCATAGTGTAACGGTGTTTCGAATTTTACTTCATTGAAGTACGTCATATTAGTTAATCGAAATATTCCTAACACTACTAGAGTAACTTTAAGCAAAGAGAACGTTTTTAGTTACTAGTAGGTGGGACACTTATCATTTTATCGAATACGTTAGTTCTGTGAACAAACGGGAATTTCTGCTTCTGAGTTGTTTTAATTTACTAAGTATAATTTATACAATCTGACCTCATAAGTGTGACAAACTGAATTTTGTGGATCTATCGCGCAAAATACAGTGATGTCCGACAAGGATTTCCCCTTACAAAAGAATATGCCTATCAGTGTAAGGGTCATCTTTCAATGTTTTTGATTATGTTATGTATATGTTATCTCGAGAGTATTTCAATATTTCAAAGCTGGTTACATTCGCTCCTATATTATCAGGGTTATGAAAGTTGCGATTAAAAAGTTTGATATTTGTAAATGTTCATTAAGTTACGCGTTTCTCATTCATTTTATTTGCTCGCAAATACTATGCAAAAAATTTTTGTTTCTGTCAAGGTAATTTTTCGTGACTTCGATCGAAGTTGAGTTATACTTAAGTCTTCGGAAGTATATATTCGTGGGAAAACCTGTGTTATGCAACTGTATAGTGCACACGGTGGATATTACGTAGCAAGACTTGATATCTAATTCTCATATAAATTATTCAAGAAAAAACTCAGGAATTATGGACATATCCTGGAAAACTACTCACGTAACATATGTTTTATCTTAAAGAAAGCAATCCGAAAACCTCATGTGATATCAGATCCATTTTTATGACACTTTATCTTCAGTGGGACGAGTTGTTTGTGCGTGAACTAATGACAATTAGACCAATAGGCAATGAAATTATTGTGTGTATCTCTTAATAGGAGTTGTGTATTACACAGATTAGAAGTATTTTATCACCTTAACAACCCATGCATACGCGAAAGACTGCTGATTGATGGAAAGAACAAAGTACAAGATGAAGCAGAACTCTCGTCCACATGCTCATGTAAAGAAAGACGAGCCTGTCAAATTAGTTAGTAAGGAATTAGAAAACTGACGTTTTTAAAGAGTGAATTTCTTAAAATGCTTTCACTTCCTGACTGGAAACTGTAAGCTGGCCGGAATCAATAAAACAATGTGGTTAAAGACTGATGTTGAAAACTAGTCAGATCATTTACTCAAAAGAATTTTTCAGATGTAAATAATTTCTTTTCAACAACTTGATCGTCACTTGACTTATACTATCTCGGTTTTAAACAAAAAACCGGCAGTAATTCGTTTGTGTAGTAGGTTGATCTGGATCTTTAGAGACTACTTATCCATTACACAATGGCAAGAATATTAAAAGACGAGATTATACAATCACCTCTTTATCTTGCTTGGATAACGAACAGGCGATGTTTCATGGCAAAATATGCATTAACGTGTGATTTATCGGTAGAAAATTCATACGTTGCTACCACTATGGAATGACTCATCTACCGGCTGTCGCTTTGGAAGTTTTGATATAAACTTATTTGATCCCTAAACTATTAAGTTAAAAAATAACGGTTTTAGAAGTTCAGTTTTACTTGAATTGAGAGCGGACATCCCACTATCATTAGTATTGAAACGTCATGGCGGTAGTAGTCATAAGTCCCCATTTCTATAGAACACTAACGACTTCATTTCAAACATCTAGTTTTTTTTGTTATTGAAGTGATGATAAGAGTATTACGACCATATTCTTTTCACCAAAAATCTATTTATTATGTGATGTATATTGTATCTTATTGTTAGTGAGAAACTTTTTGTACTCAATTAATTTTAGTCCTAATAGTTAATAGGTGATTGTGTTTAGATCACGCAAAGTTTGGAGAAGCTTTAATAAAGTGTTATGTTCCTCTTTGAAAGTGTATTTGACGCAACAACCCGAAGAAATTTGATGATCGCGACACCTCGTTAGCAATAAAACGATAAGAGCTTTTAAGACAGTCACAGGAAAGCATGAAACTATCGCTAAGTTATAATTCACACCATCAGTCAGAAGTCAGTCAGTCAGTAACAACGTAGAACTTCGTACGTACGTACATCAGTTCGAGTTGCCACACCACATTAGCACAGAAAAGAATAGTATCTCATTTTGTGGTGAAGTATTACTTTCGTTTTTCAAAGCAATTTTCATTTTTTTCGGAAGCTTAATTCAAAGTGTGATTTTATAAGTATTAATTAGACTAGCATGCCAGACTTACGTTGACCTGTCAATACGCTCTTCCCAGACAAGACTTATTATGATTCGTTTTTTGGACTGAACATGTTTTGTACGATAAAGCTGAAAAGTCAAGTGGTTCTTAATCTAATTAGTGTTATTTTATCACTTTCCCCTTAAAATGAACATAAATATAACATGACAAAACATGAACGAATTTCCCTGATCATGAAGTAAATCACTACTACAATCATATTTTGTGCATTTGAAAGGAAAATCAGGACGCGATTTTTTAGATTTACCCAGGGTACATTATCTGAACATGCCTGGGTTTGTATTGTTCTCGTTGTTTGAGTCCTATAACTTACATATCTCGTGCACAGCCAATTTATTCATCACAAGCATGTGTTAGAAATGAGTACTCATAGATAGTTATTACGAATGATGCAGTGCTATTCTGACTGAAAGCGATTTTCTAACTAGCTCTGTCGTCCACTAGCTGGCTAATTCAACTACTCAGTTCCGAGACTTGGAAAATGAGGACGTATGAGATTACACAACCCAAGTCACCTAAACGCCTAAATCTAAGCATTGAGTTACTTCATGATTTTTCAACATCATTTAAATAAAAAACAGACATGTTAATTATCACCACTCTAAGCAAACATAGTTACTTTAAAAAGCATTGGTAACGCACAGGAAACTTATTTAAGCTGTGAATCAAACTAAACTCTGTAAAACAGAATGAATTTCAATCTGCTGTTACTATTATTATTTCATTTGTTTTACTACCTCTTTATCCCGACCGAAGCTGCTAACTTGACGCGGTGGTCGGGCTTGCCTATCGTGATGACCCAACCGAGCTAAATTGGTTGAAAAATATGTTCCTGTAGGTTCTACCATGCCAGGCAGGTCGATCGGAGAACAGTAAGACTAAAAGCAGCAACTCAAGGTCTGAGGGCGAAGTCGTACTGCTGACTGTACAGAGGTGTGACAGGAGTAAGGTGTTTCCTTCAGACAACCAGCATGACAGCAATGCTGCCTTCCCACAAGGAGGGGTGGGGTTAGAAAAGGTCGACCCTAAAAATGTCACACCTCACGTTACCTCACGGATTTCCGTCTCCGGCGGTAAAGCCCTTGAAGAACGGAACTAACACATTAAAAACCTTTCACGAAAAGGCCGTGCGCAACCGGCCTCAAGCAGTTGTCTCTTGGGTTCTGCGGTCACGCTTCCAGGTCGTTAAGATCAACACTAACCTGAATTCCTTTTCAGGTTCCTCAAGAAGTACCTTTCCGTGGTGTGGGCAGCCGGGAAGTGATATCAGCCCTCATACCCGTAACAGCACACGAGACCGAGTTGGTCACATTCAAATCCTTCCTGCACCTCCTAATACCTCTCTTATCTCCACGACTAACCCTCCTCATGTCTCTTTACCACCTCGCACTGCTAGAGCAAACAATTCAAGTACGCGGATTGCTATTCCTGGCCTCCTGAAACCACGCTCTGAACTACACATGGGAGCTTTTAACGTCCGAACACTGTACCAAATAGAACAGCAGGCTTCCTTAGCTAGGACTTTAGAATCTCGCGCCATTGATGTGTGCTGCGTCTCCGAAACGCGCATACAGAATCCCAGTAGCGTCATTCATTTCACCTCACCATGTCAAAATAAAGAACCGACTCGATTCACACTCCGTGTATCTGAAAGCCCAGATGATGCTTCTCGTGGCCTCCCCGGCCTAGGTATAGCATTGAGTCCTAGGGCAGAACTAGCTCTCTTAGACTGGATCCCAGTAGACAGTCGTTTGTGCGCTGTCCGACTAAACGGAACAATAAGGACTCGGAAAGATAGGGACACTCGTCGTTGCCTCTTCGTCGTCTCTCCCTATTCTCCCAGTGACTGCAGCTCAGAAGATGTAAAAGATGCGTTTTACAGAAAGCTCTCCGACCTTCTCCGAAAAGCTAGGCACTCGGGTGTAGTAATAGTGGCTGGTGGCTTTAATGTTCAAGTAGGTAAACTAAGCGAAAGGGAAAGACACCTAGGTGGATCTTATAGCATCGTGGCTGAAAGAACAGATAATGGCGACCGTCTGTTGCAGCTATGCTCAGATAGGCGCCTGTTCCTTGAAAATACTAACTTTGAGCATAAGGAAAAACATCTTTTAACATGGCGACCCCCTAATTCGTCCCAACGTTGGACCCAAATAGGTCACATCGCTATCAGCCACCGATGGAGGGGCTCGATAGAAGACTGTCGCTCATTCTGGAGCACATGCCTAGATTCAGATCATGCTCCAGTACGAGCACGTATCTGCCTGTGTCTTACTGGACGTAAAAAAGACGCTGCATGTAAACCTCTTAGGGCCCTACTTAATGATAGTCAAGCTAAGATTATATTTCAGGAACAACTAGAAAAACAGTTAGGCAGCCATGTATGTGATGCCCACCCCGAGGCAGCATGGAATGATGTCCGAAAAGCTGGGGAGACAGCAGTGATATCTGCTAGTACGGTAAACCACAAGGTTAGGGAGAAACACTGGATATCAGCAGCATCTATCGCACTAATAGATGCTCGGAAACTCATTCCACCTGGCTCTGAACATAATGAAGAGCGGAGTCAGCTTAAGCGCGAGCTGACAAGAAGTCTACGCAACGATCGTGAACAGTGGTGGGCAGCGAAAGCAAGAGAGATGGAAATGGCAGCGGCAATAGGTAATAGCAGACAATTGTTCAGACTCGTTACGGAAACCGGTATTAGGAAACCGACTGTTAGCGAAACAATCTCAGAGAAAGATGGACATATTACACATTCTCAATCCAGGAGATTGGATCGATGGGCAGAACACTTTAGGGATCAGTTCAACTGGCCTTCAGCCACACTTCGGTTTCCCACGATCTCCAGTCAACCTGAATGGCAAATTACTTTAGATCCTCCGACTCTCTACGAAGTTGAAAAAGCCATAGGAAATCTGAAGTGTGGGAGAGCAGCAGGCCCTGACAGGTTTACTCCTGAGATTTTCAAGAATGGCGGTCCAGTATTAGCAGTGGGATTGACTGGGGTCTTGGGTAAAATTTGGGAACTGGACAAAATCCCATATGACTGGTCTCAATCACTGAT